TACAGTGGAATTCATGAAAAGAACTGAGGCTCAGGAGAGGATTTTGACTTGCCCAAGGTCACATATTGTGTATGTAGAACTCATTTATGATTTCCTGCCTTATTGTATGCCAGTTTATATGTTGCTCATATGTCCTAGAAGGCACGCTACATGTCCATGCATTAGTTGCTCACCCCACCCTCCACCCAGGTACCACATACAGTGTACAGGTTAATGTATTTTGTACATCAATTAGTAGACGCCTTTAAATTATTCTAAATAAGGGTTACAAACCCTCATAAATTGGTTACAGATGGAAAGAATCAAGTCCCATTCTTTTTTGAGCTGTGCCTCTCTAAAAGAAAATGTTAAAACATCTAAACTTATAAATAATAGAAAGAATAACACGACTTACATGGAAGATACTGGAGGGTCTTTATTCTTTGAAGAAACAAGAACAGCCCCTCCAAAAACTTACAAACTCTACCATCTGGGCAACTGTGCTCACTGCTCTGCCACTCTATAATATAGTGAAATCTATCAGTATATAACACAGCTTCCAATCAGCTTTATAAAGCTTTGTCCATAGATGAATGGATATCATGAGACAAAAAGAAAAGCAAAAACATGGATAAAGGGAACTTAAAGAGGAAGGATGCATGTGCAGAAGAAAGAAAACTAAAACAAGCAAAGGAGACCAGAAGCACAGGAAAGATGGAAAAAAAGAGGCGGGGATGAACAAAGGAAGGGGAAAGAGGGAGGGCAAAGAGAAAACCAAAGATAGTAAGAGATGGGAAGAGGTGAGTGGAGCAGAGTGAGGAAGAGAAAGGAGGCAGCCAAAAAAGAAAACCATTGGAAAACAAAAGTGAGGTCTTGAAAATTAAAGTTTTGATTCTTAATATTAAAATGCAATAGAAAGTAAGTTGATCTCCTGGAAAGTAAAATAAGTTATACAATAGAAGAAAATGATGATGAAATCACATCAACCCTTTTCTTCAGAAATATCAAAGAAATACTATAAGAACATTTCAAGGACCCAAGCACCCAGGAGAATCACAGAAAAAAAGACCGGGCCACCTTGAATCACTGTGAAATTTTGGAACACCACAAAAATGAATCTGATTCACTTTCAGAAAGGGCAAGATTAAGAACAAGAATAGGATCAAATTCTCAACTGTAATCTTAGAAGATGGGAGTCAAAGCTTCAAAATTCTAAGAGAAAGTGAATTTCAACTCAGATGTCTCTACCCGGCCAATCAATCAAAAGATTGTTAGTAGAATAAAAATAGCTTCAGAGACATATAAAAAGTACCTCAAACATATCCTCTCACATAGCTAGAGGAGAACATGTGTCGCCATAATAAAAAAATGTAAACCTAAGAAAGAAGACACGAAATCCTGGAAATAAATTCAATGTTGAGGAGTTAACTGAACTTCTAAGACAACAGCTGTGGAGCAGCTTGTAGATCTACAGTTCAGACTGGAACATGAAGACAAAGGGCTCCAGGAAAAAGTAGCCTGAAGGACAGTCTGACACATCTGACAACAGAGCAACTGCATCAAGTAGTTGTGAGGGGGAAAGCCCTGGGAAGATCATAGGAAGGCTTTGCTAAGTAGGTATGTGTCCCTCCAAATTCCGTATCCTGAAGCCCCAACACCAGTGGGACGGTGTCAGGAGGTGGGGTCTGTGGGAGTTAATTAGGTTTAGATGAACATTTGAGGGTAGAAATTCCATGAGAGAATTAGTGCCCTTATATAAAGGGGCAACAATTCAGTAGCATTTAAATAGTCACAACATTGTACACAACCACTGTATCTTCCTAGTTCCAAAACATCTTCTTTATCCCAAAAGGAAACCCTATATGGATTTCACATCAGTAATTCCTTCTCTCTCCAGACCCTGACAAATACCAATTAACTGTTTCCAGAGACTTACCTACCCTAGATATTTTATACAAAGGATTCACACAACATGAGATCTTTAGTGTTTCACTTCTTTCACTTAGTGTAATGTTTTCAAGGTTCATCCATGTTGGATGAACTTCCTTTTTATGGTTGAAGGTTATTCCATTGTATATAGTGTATACATAGCACAAGTTGTTCATTCATCTGTTGATGGACATTTGGGTTGTTCCACCTTTTGGTTACTGTGAATGGAACCTTTGTGAGCAACACATGTGCCTTTATTTATTTATTTATCGAGTGTCTATTTTCAAATCTTTTTAAGAGTAGAAATACTGAGCCACATGTTGATTATATATTTAGCTTTACCTATACATTTACAGGTTTAACTAAACCCACATATCTTAAGGTCAACTGATCTTCAACAAGAGTGCCAAGACCATTCAATGAGGGAAAGAACTGCCTATTCAATGGTTTTGGGATAACTGGATATGATATCAAAAGAATGAAACCACTGGAAGCTACTGGAAAATGTGTATCAAACCATATACAAATTTAATTCAAAATGGATTGTAGACTTAAGTCAGAGTTAAAACTAAAAATTCTTAGAAGAAAATTTAGTGGTAAATATTTAACCTTGAGTTTGGCAAAGACTCTTAAATATGACACAAAAAGTATAAGCAACAAAAGAAAAAAATATATAAACTGGTATCTATCAAAATAAAAACTTTAGCTAGGTGTGGTTGATTGTACATGCCTATTAATTCCAACTACTCAGAAAACTGAGGCAGACTGGTCACAAATTCAAAATCATCCTGGGAACTTAGCAAGATCCTATCTCAAAAAATAAAATAAAAGGGCTAGGATACAGTTGAGTGGCACAGCACTAGCCACTCAACTCATGTAGAAAGCCCTAGGTTCAATCCCCAGCACTGCTAATAAATAAATAAAAATTTAAAAATATTTGCTTCAAAATATTCATCAAAAAGTGAAAAGATGGGCTAGGGTTGTAGCTTAGTGGTAGAGAGCTTGCCTAGTATATGTGAGGCCCTGGGTTCAAGCACCCGCCCCCAACCTGGGAGGCAGAAACAAATACACAAATAAAGGGCTACATTTCCAATCCTAAGCCTGCCTACCCTGCCTTTCTGCAAAAGCACAATAAAGGCTCTTGCTCACATTTAAAAAGAAAAAAAAAGAAAGTGAAAAAAAAACTACAAAAAATGGGAGAAAGTATTTGCAAATCACACTTTTGTAAATATACAAAGAATTCTTAAAACTCAATAACAAAAAGATAAATAACCTGGGCTGGGATGTAGCTTGGTGGTAAAGTGCTTGCCTAGCATGTGCAAGACCTTAGGTTCAATACCCAGCACCATAAAAAGAAAAGAAACAAGATGACAACCCAATTTAAAGATGAAGATGAGAGAAGAAGAAAGTTATACATATGACCAATAAACACATGAAAAAATGGAAAACGTTAGGTATTATCAGCTACTATGTAAATACAAATCAAAACTACCAGATACAACTTCATATCCATTAGGATGGCAATAACAAAATAAATAAATAAATAAACAAAAACCCTATAAAATTAAAAAATAATAGGTGCTGATGAGGGCAAGGGTATGAAGAAACAGAAACCCTTATGCATTGCTAATGGAAATGTAAATAGTGCAGCCCCTTTGAAAAACAGTTTGGCAATTCTTTGAAAACTTAAATGTAGAATTACTATATGACCCAGCAATTCCACTTTGGGGAAGAGACCTATCACAAATGTCCACACAGAAACTTGCCTATGAATGTTTGTAGGAGCATTATTCCTAACAAACAGTAGAAACAAACTAATTGTCTGTCTGCAGATGAATGGATAAACAAATTGTGGTCTATTCATACAATGGAATTTTACTCAGCCATAAAAAGAAATGAAGTGCTGATGCATGCTACAGCTTGGATGAACCTCAAAAACATTATGCTAGGTGAGAGAAGCCAGATGCAAAAGATCACATATTATATGATTCTGTTTATATGAAATAGCCACAAAATGTAAATCAGTAGAGAAAGAAAGCAGATTAGTGGTTGCCAGGAGGAGGCAGGAATGGGTAGTGATTACTTAATGGTTCAAGGTGTTTTCTGGGGTGGTGAAGAAGTCCTGAAACTACAGAAGTGGTGGTAGCATTGTTAATGCTTTAAATGTCATGGATCATTTCAAAATGGTTGTTTGCACGTGTGAATTTCACTTCCTTTAGAGAGAGAGAGAGAGAGAGATTGAAGTACTAAAATATGCTATCTCAAGGATGAAACCTGAAAACATTGTAAAACTAAGTGAAAGAGATCAGTCACAAAAGATCCCATATTAAGTAATCCTATTCATATCTAGGGAAAGAAAGTTGATTAGTGGTTGTTTAGAGCTAGAGGTGGGAATAGAGAGATAGGGTATGAGGTGTTTTTTGGTTTTTTTGTTTTGTTTTTTTGGTGATGAAAGTGTTCAAAAAGCAACTGTGACAAACCACTGAATTATAAATCTTTAAATGGGTGAAATGTGTGAGTATATGAATTACACCTTGATGAAGTCATTAAAATCAAAGCTATTGACATATAACAAGATACTGAATTAGTAATTAAAAATCTTCCCACAAAATCTGAGCTCCAAATGGCTTCACAAATTAATTTACAGGATACTAAATCAATACACAAAAATTAATTATATTTATGTGCATCAGGAACAGGTAATTCAAAAATAAAATTAACAAAACAATTCCATACACAATAACAAAAAAGAATAAAATGCTTAGGGGAAACAACAACCATACTGGAAAAAATCATATCAAAGACTTTATCAAATCAAAACACTTTTGTAAAATAAAATATACTAGTATGAAAATGAAAAGACAAACCACAGACTGGGAAAGAGTATTTGATAAGGAACATATATCCAGAATTTATAAATACTCCTACCACTGAAAATAAAAAGACAATCTTGATTTCTTCTAATTCAATAATAAAAAGAACTCAATTTAGAAAGGAGCAAACTGTAAGGATAGTTCACCAAATATACTATAAAACATAGGAAAGGATGTTCAACATAATTATTAAGGTTATCCAAGTTAAATGTAAGTTAATGCTCCCTTCGGCAGCACATATATAAAATTGGAATGATACAGAGAAGATTAGCATGGCTCCTGCACTAGGATGACATGCAAATTTATGAAGTGTTCCATATTTAACAAATAAAAATAAAAAACCCATATGACATACTACTACATACCTACTGAAATGCCTATAATAAAAAAGATAATCATAAGTGTTGGTGAGAGGGGGGCTGGGGTCATGTGACTCAGTGATAGAGCACTTGCCTAGCACATATGAGGCCCTGGATTCCATCCGCAGCACCACATAAAAATAAACAAATAAAATAAAGGTATTGTGTCCAACTACAACTAAAAAATAAATATTAGAAAAAAAAAAGTGTTGGTGAGAATGTGGAGAAATTGGAACCTTCATACACTGTTGTTAGAAATGTAACAATGGTGCAGCCACTTTACCAGTTTGGTTGTTTTTTTTCTTTATTATTTTTTTTAATAACTTTGTTTATTTTTTTAGGTGGTGCTGAGGATTGAACCTAGTGCCTCACACAGGCTAGGCAGGCGCTCTACTACTGAGCTACAACCCCAGCCCTTGGTTGTTTCTTAAAAAGTTAAATCAACTTACCATATTACCCAATGAAATTCACCAAAGAGGAATGAAAATATACATCCATACAAATACATGTATGATGATATTCAGAGTAGCAATATTCATAACAACCAAAAACTTGAAACAATTCAAATATCCATCAGCTGGTTAGGGTATAAACAGTGTGAGGATAGAGATAGAGCTCTACAACAGAATGCTATGCACCCATAAGAAGGAAGTGAACTGCTGAGACATGCTACAACACAGATGGCTGACTCTCAAAAGCCTTATGCTAAGTGAAAGAAGCCAGGTGCAAAAGACTTCAAACTTTCTGATTCCATTTATACAAAATATCTGTAGAGACAGAGAACAATAGTGTTTGGCTGGCTGAGGGCAGGGTGGAGTACAGTGGAAATAGGTGTCAACTTCAAAGATGATTTTTTTTGGTATAAGGAAAATATTGTTAAATTATGTTGTGGTAATGTTTGACCAACTCTAGAAATTTACTAAAAATCATGTACATGTAACGTAAAATGATGGATTTTATAGTATGTACATATAACTGATAATGATGAATTTTATAGTATGTAATTTTATACTTCAACAATACTATTTTTTAAAACTTTGAAAAATAGCTATTAAGTACAATACACTCCCTTCCTCCCTAACTCCCTCCCTCCCTCCTTTCTTCCTTCCCTTCCCTCCCTCCCTTCCTTCCTTCCCAGAGACTGAACCCAAGGCCACTCAACAACTGAGCCACATCCCCAGCCTTTTTTTATATTTTCTTTTGAGACGGGATCTCACTAAGTTATTTACAGCCTCACTAAGTTTCTGAGGCTTGCTTTGAACTTGAAATCCTCCTATCTCAGCCTCCCAAGCCTCTGGAATTATAGGTGTGCACCACCTCACCTGGCACAAACACATTTCCTTCCTTCCTTCCTCCCTCCTTCCTTCCTTTAAGAGACAGTCTCTCTCTCTGTTGCCCAAGCTAATCTCAAACTCCTGGGCTTAAATGATTCTCCTGGCTCAGCCTCCCTAGTAGCTGGAACTACAGGCACATACCACTATGCCTTGCTAAAATTTATTTCTATCTTATTGATTTACCACACAGTGGCCTCTGCTGGCCAAAAGAAGAGATTGTGATAATTTGTTTACTAGCTGCTTTAAGTTTTTATATTCATAATGTATCTACTATACAAAAAGGCATAGAAATGTCTATGGTTTCTAAAAGTAGAATTCTTAGGCTGTAAGGTCTAAATTGTACTCATTTAAAGAAAAGCAGATGAGATCAATAGCTAAGAATGAAAGAGCAAACTCACTTGCTCCCAGATGAAACCATTGCTACAAAATACACCTCATAATAACTTAAATCTTTTGAAAAATATTCAAAGGCTGGCCTACCTCTCCTAGTCAATGCAAGAGCACATTCACAGAAATACATAAGCGAAAAGCCCATTATTTCTAGTTTATGCTATGTAAGAACAGGTAAATTAAAGAAGCCATTGATTCACCTTTGAAGATCATCAGAGCACAATAATTAAAAGAAAGAGTTTTGGGGAGTTAGCTTGGATTCAAATCCTGTGTCCAACATTTATCACTCCCTATCTTGGGCTTGTTATTTAATTCATCAAAGTCTCAGTCTCTATCTTTATAAAATGAAGAACATATTTTATCTCAAAGGACAGTAATTATTGGATATAATTACTGTCATTTCAGTTTACAAGTTGACAATAAATTTTTAAATGATCTTTAAGTTTAAAAAATATTCGTAAGATCCATATTCACTAAAAATTTATCAAATACTTTTGTGTCCAAAACATGTTTAAGCTCTATGAAGAAAGTATTTAAAACCCTAAACACACACTAAACTATTTAAAATGAATAAAGAGATAACCATTAATACTGAAAGATGCTCTATAATGCACAATGTGAAGATTACCAAACAGTAGTACAATCTTATTTTTCAGTAGTATCATCTTGTTTTTATAAGCATACATTATATTATATACATTCACATGCACACACACAAATATATATATGTATGATGCTACACTAAATTAATTGATGGTCATTTTTCAGTGGTGTAATAAAAAATTGTTTTCTTTTTTCTTAAGCATATTTTCTTATTTTTGTATGTTTAACCCTACTACAAGGAATGGGGAAAGTTAAATAAATCTTGATCATAAAGACATCAGATTGGCTCAAACTGAATGCAGGCCACTGGCATCCTTGATTAGAATTGGAAAGCAAGACTTAGAGGGTTCAGGATACACTGTGATCCTACTTGTCAAGATTAAAACAGAACAAAATATGCATAACATTTATAATTCATTATATGAAAGACTTTGGAATATTATAATACCTTAGTTTAAAGTGCTGCTAACACTTTAGAATTTGTTAATGAACGTACCAATTGGAATAGAGTTCTAAGAATAGAAAACAGAACAAATTATCCTTTATTTTTTTCTGACATTGTTAGAAGTAAAAGGACAGACAGAAAATCATGCAAAAGGTTCCTGAGTTGGGGGTTCCACAGAAAGCAGTGCCGCTGGGCCATGGCAGAGGGCTGGCATTTTCTTATTGCAACAGCTGGCAAGACTAAAGCATGATCCACTCTCAATAAATGAACTGCTGCTGAATATGACATCTCCAGTAACCATGGCATTATTGGAAATATCTTAATCCAGCTATCAGAATGAAGCACACCTAGGAGTCCGTCTGAACTATCCCTGTTTCTAACATTATATCTTATATTAGCTTCTCAGTCAAAAAAAAAAAAATTCTGCCATCTATTTTCCATTTGTTGAGTAAGACAGAAGTGACCATAGGGGCAACAGTAAGAATAGCCTTCCCCAAACTATGCTCTTCAACATAAATCGTGGCTGAGATTCCAAAACAAACATTAATGAGTCTTGATTCTTTGGAAAAGAATAACGTAAAATAATAGAACTAAATTCTCCATGAACAACAAGCGAACTAACAAAATCGAAAACTTACCTGAAAACATTTTGACAAAATCATCAGTGGACATACTCATCACCACATCCGCCTTATCAGAGGGCTCTCCATGTCCAACATTCCCACCCCTGTTTTTCAAATCCAGAAACCATGTGCCACCATCTTCACCTATATAGAGATTAATATATAGAAATAAACAATTATTATGATTAGAATAATCTTCCAAAATGCTATTTCCTGGATTAAAATTCTCTGGCCTCTAATAATCAAACAGCAAATATTTATTGAGCACTTATTTTGTTTCAAGGTGCTAGGTTCCAAAGAGCCTTCAATAAGATAAGAGAAACACTGTTCTCTGGGCTGGGGCAAGGGCTCAGTGGTAGAGCGCTTGCCTAGCATGTATGAGGCACTAGGTTCGATCCTCAGCACCACATATAAATAAATAAAGGTCTATCAACAACTAGTAAAATGTTAAAAAAAAAAAACCACTGTTCTCACAATAAGAGAGGAAATGGAAGGTGATGTACATACTAATAAAAGAAGAACCGGGATTACTAAGTACCAGTAACAGGAGAGAATGGGAAGTTATTATTTTAGGAGTATAGAACTTCAGTTTGGGATGATGAAAAAGTTTTGGAGATGGTTGTAAAACAATGTGAATGTAACTGTACTCTTGAAAGGAATTAGCAACTTTTATTTGTATTTTACCATAATAACAAAAAATTGATTTAGCTGAGTATATAGCTCAGTGGTAGAAGGGCTCACCTAGCATGCTCAAGACCATGGTTCAATCCCCGACACCCAACACACCTAGGGGGGAAAAAAGCACTAGGGCCAGGAAAGCCCAGTTGAAGCTGAACTTTGAAAGTTAAGTAAGAATTAGTTAGTTGGACAGGGAAGAGGGAAAATACCTCAGGCAATGAAAACAGGATATGTAAAACAAAAACAAAACCATCAACAGAATTAAGTGGGCAGGATCCCAGAGGCTCAGGAGGCTGAGGCAGGAGGGTCACACTTTCAAAGCCAGCCTCAGTAACTTAGTGGAGTCTCTAAGAAACTCAGATAGACCCTGTCTCTAAATAAAATATAAAAAAGGACTGGGGATGTGGCTCAGTGGTTAAGTGCCAGTGCCCCTGAGTTCAATCCCCAATACAAAAAAAAGGAGGGCATGAAGCATGTGTGAGGAACTAGACCTGAAAACAGTACAGTAGGACTGGAGGACAGTGGCATCAGACTCACTCATAAGGCACTCTCGGTGGGGGACACAGTGAGCCACGTAAAGGATTTAGTAACTTCATCCCTCATCCTTTGTCACCATGGAAGGAAAATGACACAATAAGGTTTGCATCTTAAATAGCTCACCCTACCTTCAGTGCAGGTGATACATTAGAAAGGGATGAAGAGGATGGAGAAGACTAGTAAGGACATTGGTGGGATCATTTGTGAGCTTGAAGGTGATCCCTGGATCAGGATCGTGGCCATGGGGATGAGGACAAATGGGCATATTTGAGAGAAATTTTCAAAGCAAAACCTCAAAGCCAGAAAACGGACCAAGTATGCAGAAGAAAAGGTGGGCCGTGTGCACAGGATTGAT